AACAAATCTAGTTTTTGCCAAACACAGGACCATATACATACCTGAGATCATACCAGCTGAGTTCCATTTCAACATCGATAGAGTACTCCATCAGTTCACTGTCAAAGTTTGCGAGGTAAAGGATGTTCAACTGCACAGCGACAATAACCGGAATATCTTGAAGATGATGAAATTGAAGATTTTTCATAAAAGCTTCTCCATCTAATTAAAACAATAAGAATTTCTTTGATTTCACCTGAAAATGCAGTCGGAACAGTATTGTTGTCGTAATTGATGCTTGACAACACAGGTAGAATAAAGCTACTCCCGTAATCGCTGAAATGTTAAAGACATGAGAAATCGGGCCTCAACTGCAGATGCAAAAAAGTGTCCAAATTCTACTAATTTCTTCCTCTAACAATTCAGTCGCCTTACACTTCACAAGTTATGCTCCACCATAGTCTTGCATGGGTTTTTCATTATTTGTGTTAATGTAGGCGACTGTCGAAATTATACTGCAAAACAGTTAATAAATGGGAAAGTCGCCTACGAGTTCAAAATAGAATTTTGGAGGACCTGAAATCCTAACGCTTTTAACTTAAAACGGATATCAAGCAAACCCATTGCCAAAGACGATTTGTTTTGCTTAGAGTATATTTCATATCAAGAAAAGAGACGAAATATAATGTTAATATAATATAATGTGTTCGACACCAACAGCCACCCCGTGGACGTCTACCGCTTCATCGTGGCATCGAACCACGAGTCCAGCGGAGGCTTATCCTCCAGCAGAGTCCCATGCCGAGAAGAAGTTCGACATTTCCTTCCCGGATACCCAGCTAAGAATAGGCCATACCAGAAGCACCGCCGTCTGGCTGATTCAGTCGCTAAGTGGCTCCCTGATCCGCATGAAGTCAACGATTACCTGTGGTGAAAGCTTGGCAGGGCCCTGGCAAGATACTGCTGAAGTTTGGGGAGATTCCTTTGATTATTGCCTGTACAGCATGTAAGAGAAAAAGAAGCCCTGCCCACTGGATACGGCATCGGATGTCATCAAGACCAGTGTCAGGTTGCACAGGGCGCCATGGATTTTGGATTAAAGGGACACGTCAACGACTCGCCATTGAGATTGTCTCATGCTCTGCAACTGCAATGCCAACACAGTCCCAACGCCAATCTTCACACCCTTCTCGAAGCTGCAGTGCGCATCAACTACCGTAATTGCCGTCGGAAACAAGTTAAGGAAGAAGGACGGGAGGCAGCTGAATGATGGCACACTTATCAT